CACCCTAGGATACAGGTAAAGAACCACTGAGGCTGGGGAAGGGTAAAAAAAAAAAAAAAAAAGTCTTCTGACCCCTGGGCAAGGAGCAGGATCACCACAAAAGCCTGAGCCAGAGAGCCAGGTGTGCCTAAGACAGACTGACCTAAGACAACAGAGAACTACCTCCAGGCCCCTTAAGATGGGCAAACACCGAGTGACAAACAGTAGCAGTCTGCTTCTAGAGGGCGGGGGACAGCATGGGAGACCCTTTTTAAGGCCCAGGCTCAAAGGCAAAGTCTAACAACTGAGGAGAGCAGAGATGCTCAGAAAAACCCTCGGGAGGGTCGATCCTCACCCTAAACACTATGTAACATCAGGACAGCGCGAAAGCCTGCGGTGAACACAGGTAACTGTAACAACAACAGAACCCAAACCCACTTCCTGGTAAGGCGGACTTAACCTCATCTAATCTAATGGAAGAATTTCCAGACACGAGTGTTATAAATCTCAGTGTATCTGTCTTACGTATGTCTGGCAACAACCAAAAATTCCAAGACACACAAAAAAAAGCTAGAAAAAACAATCAACTGCCGAGAAAGAGAAATCAACAGACCCAGACTCAAGAGATTTACATTTTTCAGATACTGAAGCTATCCGAGAATGTAAAGTAAGCATCATACGTTAAGAAAGGCTCTTGTGGAAAAGACAGACAACACCCACGAACAGAGAAGCAGAAAGATGGAAATTGTAAGAAAGAATTCGTGAACATAAAGGCAGGGCAATCAACATGACCCAAAGTGAAGCACAGAAAAAAGAAAGAAAAATATAAAAGAGAACTAGGGGATGATATCAAATCATCTAACGCATATATAATTAGACTCTTAGAAAGACAAGACGTGGCAGAAGAAATATTTGAAGATGGAATGGCCAAGAATTTTCCATAAATCATGAAAGACATCAAACCACGGATCCAAGCAGCGAAGAGAACAGGCCAAAAAACACATATATAGGCCGGGCGCGGTGGCTCACGCCTATAATCCCAACACTCTGGGAGGCCGAGGCGGGAGGATCGCTCGAGGTCAGGAGTTTGAGACCAGCCTGAACAAGAGCGAGACCCCGTCTCTACTAAAAATAGAAAGAAATGATCTGGACAACTAAAAATATATACAGAAAAAATTAGCCGGGCATGGTGGCGCGTGCCTGTAGTCCCAGATACTGGGGAGGCTGAGACAGTAGGATCGCTTGAGCCCAGGAGTTGGAGGTTGCTGTGAGCTAGGCTGACGCCACGGCACTCTAGCCTGGGCAACAGAGTGAGACCCTGTCTCAAAAAAA